ACACACACACACACACACACACACACACACACACACACACACACACACACAGCGCACACACACACACACACACACACACACACACACACACACACACACACACACACACACACACACACACACACACACACACACACACACACACACACCACAGGCCTACTAGGCAGAGACTGAGCCCATAAGTGCAACACATAGTACACCAGAGAGAGAGAGAGAGAGAGAGTAATGCCACTACTCAAAATAGCATTGCGGACCTTACGTCATGTGTGGGAGGTGATTGTGTTACTGAGGCGGGCGGGCGGGTGGGCGGCGCTGGTCGGATGCTCGTGTAGTGTTTCAGGGTTGGTGTTGCCTCATCCTGGACCACGGGACTCACTCCTTACCTGATGTGTGTGTGTGTGTGATAATTATGTCTCACCATTCAGAAATTACAGGTATACAGGTTATAGGTACAGCAACAGGTATATAAATAAAAAGGTGCAGGTTACAGGTAAAGATACAGGTATACAGGTACAGCAACAGGTATGGCTACAGGTATACATGCACAGCTACAGGTATGGCTACAGGTATAGAAGTTATACATATAGGTACAAGTACAGGTAAATATTATAGGTACAGGTTATGGGTACAGGTTACAGGTGCAGGTTACAGGTACATCAGGTGAAATTTCATGACCTACCTGGTGTGCCATTTCATAATTGTCGTTAATGGTAAATATATTTTTTTAAATATAAAGAATTTTGGGGGGAGGAAAAATATTTTAAACTTTCTTTCACTATCGAGATAATTTTTTTTTATGAATTTTTATTAAGTAAAAATCGGTGTTGTGCCCTGTTGTCTTGCACTGTTGTCATTCACTGTTGTCATTCACTGTTGTCATTCACTGTTGCCATTCACTGTTGCCATTCACTGTTGTCATTCACTGTTGTCATTCACTGTTGTTATGCACTGCTGTCTTGCATTCTTGTCACTCACTGTTGTCATTCACTGTTGCCATTCACTGTTGTCATTCACTGTTGTCAATCACTGTTGTCATTCACTGTTGTCATGCACTGTTGTCATTCACTGTTGTCATTCACTGTTGTCACTCACTGTTGTCATGCACTCTTTTTTTCACTGTTGCCATGCACTCTTGCCATGCACTCTTGCCAATCACTGTTGTCTTGCACTGTTGTCATTCACTGTTGTCATTCACTGTTGTCATTCACTGTTGCCATTCACTGTTGCCATTCACTGTTGTCATTCACTGTTGTCATTCACTGTTGTTATGCACTGCTGTCTTGCATTCTTGTCACTCACTGTTGTCATTCACTGTTGCCATTCACTGTTGTCATTCACTGTTGTCAATCACTGTTGTCATTCACTGTTGTCATGCACTGTTGTCATTCACTGTTGTCATTCACTGTTGTCACTCACTGTTGTCATGCACTCTTTTTTTCACTGTTGCCATGCACTCTTGCCATGCACTCTTGCCAACACCAAACCCGTAACTTAACATGTTCCTAAGTTCCCGTATCGTGTAAACTGACCTCAAAAGTCTATTATTTAACTTGTATACCTGTAAACCCGGGATATACTCTTGGAGGGGTTTACACCATGGTATCCAGTTATTGCGTTTCTCATTAACAGACCCCAATGGTTTAGTTACCTTGGCAATGAACCGTTGGTGTGGGGTAAATAAAGAGATTGTATGTATGTATGTATGTATGTATGTTTGTATGTATGTATGTATGTATGTATATGTGTATGACTTTACCAATGGGAGTTTTATATGCAATAATAAAGTCAATATAAACATGAGAATTCTGCCTCCCCCCCTCCAAAAAAAAAATCGAAATTAAAATATTTATTTATTTTTGGCGAATTAGAAACTAGAGTGTAATGGTCGACCTTCAACCTCAAGGAGATGGAAAGCAAGAAGAAGGAGGAGGAGTAGAAGAAGGTTTTAAGAAGATGGTTTAGAGTTTTAGTTAATGTTTTAGTTTGAGGTGACGCGTAGTTCTCAGTCTTGTTCTGGGAGGGTGAGGTGAAGTGCTTGGTCACCCCAGCAGCAGTTCGTGATTCTTCTTCTTCTTCTTCTTCATCTCACCTGTCACATTCATTCCTCCTCCATTCTCCAGGTAGTAAACATGCTTGTCTGTTTTTCACTTATTTTCAGGAGGCAGACGGCCACACACACACACACACACACACACACACACACACACACACACACACACACAGAAGAATGTGTATCTCAGACGTTTCCAAGACATTGAACTGGACAAATAAATTGGGGTAGTTTGTAAGGTAGGAGGCTCTGGTGTTGTGTAAAGAGGGAAGGAAGAGGCAGGAGGGACGGAGGAGGAAGGAGGAGGAGGAGGAGGAGGAGGAGGAGGAGACGAGGGATGAGGAGGGAGGAAGAGGAGGGTGAAAGAAGGGAAGGAAAGGGGAGGAGGAGAAAGAAGAGGATGAGGAGGCGGAGAGAATGAAGAGGAGGAGGAGGAGGAGGAGGAGGAAGAGTAGGAAGAGAGCAGGAAGAGGAAGGAGGAGGAGGAAGGGGACAGAGGAGAAGGAGGAGGGAGAAGACGAGGATGAGGAGGAGGAGGAGGAGGAGGAAGGAGAGGGAGTAGAAGGAGGAGGAGGAGACAGAAGAGGAGGAGGAGGATGATAGAGTCTCACTTACAAAAGGCTCCAACACTCTATCTATCTTCTTGGCATCGTCCTCTTGTCCGTGTCTGATCGTATGTACGTATGTATGTATGTATGTATGTATGTATGTATGTATGTGTATAGGACCTAACAAGAAACATCTGGCGTCGGTGTGTGTGTGTGTGTGTGTGTGTGTGTGTGTGTGTGTGTGTGTGTGTGTGTGTGTGTGTCTTGCTTGCTTGCTTCAGCCTAGTAATGTCTCTCACTTCCCTCACTTCCCTCACTCTCTCCCCTTCAGTAGCGACGCCTCCACCCACTCCTCTTCCACCCACTCCTCCTCTTCCACCCACTCCTCCTCTTCCACCCACTCCTCCTCTTCCACCTACTCCTCCTCTTCCACCCACTCCTCCTCTTCCACCCACTCCTCCTCTTCCACCTACTTACATCCACTCTTACTTCTATTTACGGTCTTAATTCATTGTCGTCTTTTCTTTCTACCCCCCTCTCTCCTCTCCTTGCCTCCCTCTCCCTCTCCTCCCTCTCATCCTCCCCTTGCCCTCTCTTCTTCCTCCTTAGTGCTTATCACGTCTCCGCCCACTCACATCCTCCTCCTCCTCCTCCTCCTTCCTATTGTCGCTATTTTATTTTTCTTCTCTACAACTTCACTTCGTCTCTCTCTCTCTCTCTCTCTCTCTCTCTCTCTCTCTCTCTCTCTCTCTCTCTCTCTCTCTCTCTCTCTCTCTCTCTCTCTCTCGTGTCCTTTCAAGCCTGTGTCTGTGTGCGTGTTGAAACGTATAAACCGGTTGAATATACCTACATACACATACTGCACATACATACATACATACATACATACATACATACATACATACATACATACATACATACATACACCTTTCCGACATTACTTTGATAAATGTTTTAAAAAATTGGTCAAAAAACTTAACGTGAGTAATGACCTGACCCAGGGTGTTGTATGTGTGTTGTGTTGTGTTGTGTTATTAATATTATTATTATTATTATTATTATTATTATTATTATTATTATTATTATTATTATTATTATTATTATTATTATTACTATTATCATCATCATCATCATTATTATTATTATTATTATTATTATTAATTATTATTATTATTATTATTATTATTATTATTATTATTATTATTATTATTATTATTATTATTATTATTATTATTATTATTATTATTATTATTATTATTATTATTATTATCATTATTATTATTATTATTATTATTATTATTATTATTTTATTATTATTATTATTATTATTATTATTATTATTATTATTATATTGTCACCTGTTATCATCTTCGTAGTGTTCGTAAATTAACTCAACACTTACAATGAAAACGAATATAATAACGACTTGGTATAGCGAATATCAAGAACGACCTCGTAGTAAGTCCTCTACAACGATAGACTCAAATGCGTCTATTACAGTACTCCCCTTCTCCCCGTCCCTCCCCTACCCCCCTCCTCTCCACCGTTCCCCTACCCCCCCTTCTCCCCCTCCCCTCCCACTCATCCACATCTCCTTACCGCACTGTTCTTGTCAGATCACCGTGACTTTCAGACACTTCATAGACTTTAATAACTTCGAGGTTACTGCGGTTAGGTTATGTTGATATGAGTCCGGTGATGATAATGAGTCAGTCTCTCTCTCTCTCTCTCTCTCTCTCTCTCTCTCTCTCTCATGATTTTGTGACCCATGTTGATACTGACCTTTGGATCAAAAGTTCTATTTTTGGTTAGGTTAGGTTAGGTTAAGTGACTAGTTAGGGTTAGGTTAGGTTAGGCTCAGCTAGTTAGGGTAGGGTAGGTGGTAGATTACATTCTGTTAGGTCAGGTGTTAGGTAGGTTAGGTTAGGTTAGGTTAGCCCAGATTCCTCCTATCCTGACTTGACTGATAGTGGTGTTGGTGCCCTTGGAGGCCGTGTCTTGTCCTCAGAGCAACATAACACTGCCAAGGACTCATTCTTTCGTAATTACTCGTTAGGTCAGGAATTGTAAACAGTTGAGTCATTATGTAATAGTATCAGTATCAGGGTAATTTTAGTTCAGTTAGTTAATGTTAAATTGTTGAAGTTTTATGTCGTTGATGTTGTTTTGTTAATGTTTGTTAAGTTGTTGATGTTAAAATGAGTACTCTCTCTCTCTCTCTCTCTCTCTCTCTCTCTCTCTCTCTCTCTCTCTCTCTCTCTCTCTCTCTGTACTATATAATAATATGTTGCTGAAGGCTGTAGTGATGCCATGTATATACTGTATGTATGTATGTATGTATGTATGTATGTATGTACGTGCTACACCTGCCTCCAGTAACCAGGTGTGTCCTCTCTTTCCAGCAACAGCGAGGAGCCACCAGGGGCCTGTCTCTCCTCCTCCACCTCCATCTGTTCCTCCAACTCAGCCTCCACCTCCTCCACCGTTATTGCTGCTAATGGACACATCTCCTCCTCCAGGCGTCGAACACCAGGTAAGTCAACAATCCTTCTCAACCTGTTCTTGATTACAGGTGAGTCACTTGAGGTGCAGGTACTACTACTACTACTACTACCTTCACTATCTGCTGTACACAAACAACAACAACAACACCCATCATACCATCACCACCACTACTACTACTACCAATACCACTGCTACCACCACCACCACCACCACCACCACCACCACCAGCTCCGTGACTCACCTGGGCTGGCTGGACTAACACCTGTCCTGCTGGGCTTTGATGTTGTCGCCTCAGTGAATTAGTGTTTAGTTCGGTAGGTCCCCAATACTCCGGTGACGTAACACACCTCACGCCCCCCCGCCCCTCACGCCCTCTCATGAAATACTGTGTTGTAAGGGTTGTTTACATTGTCTTCGGGGGGGGGGGGGCGATAATAGATGGTGATATTGGATTATTTTGAGGTTAGACGCCATAGTTTATTTGACTTAATGATTAAACTTTACCTTAACGTTACCTGAGGGGGTTAGGTTTGGTTAGGTTAGGGCCTATTTTGACGGGTCTGTTGGGACTGGGGTCTAATTGGACTGGAGCCGCTTAGGTTAGAACTGGGGCCCGTTTGACCTTCAGTCTTACCCTGTGTGTCGTGCTTAAAATTCTGCCGCGTTTATTTTTAATGCTTCATTTTTTCCTGTTGACCTTGTGTGCATAATGGTTATTTCATCACACCTCTCTCTCTCTCTCTATCTCTCTCTCTCTCTCTCTCTCTCTCTCTCTTTCTCACGGAATCAACAAGAAGTGTAGGTTAGATTAGGTTAGGTTAACATACGGTTAATTAATAAGGTTAGGTTAAGATAGTTTAAGGTTTACTAGGATTGCTTAGGATAGGGTCAGGGGCGTCATTTCAGATTTTGCTAAGGGGGTCAAGACCATTACATGGGGAGAGTAGGGGTCAAAAGCCTGCTCCACCGTGGTGCCGCCGGGTGGTGCTGTAACAGACGGAACACGTCCCAACACGTTTTATATTCTCAATTTGCATCTGCCCGGTGTGGACCGTGTGGCTGCTGGCAGTATGACTTACTTTCTTGCTGCTATTCAGTTTATAAATGGTAATCAGTGGGAACGATGAAAATAGATGAATACTTATGATTTTGTTTAATTATGCATAGTAAAAATACCATTGAGATGTTCTCACCAAATCCAAATTCGTCTAAATGAAAAAGGAATATAATTACAATTTTCCTTGGAGAGCAAGACAACCCTTGGGAGGGGCAAGCCAGGTCTTGGGGGGGCCAGTGCCCTCCTCCCCCCCCCCCAGCACCCCCAAAAGACGCCCCTGGGTAGAGTAGGTTAATTTAACTTATATATGGATAAATTAGCATAGGGTAAGTCAAATATAGTCATATTAACACCGGCCATGTTAAAATAGAGATAAATTAACAAAGGATTCCTTAGATATAGATACTTTAACATAATATACGTTAAATATGTATAAATTAACACAACGTTAAAATTACTCCAAACGAATAACCAATTTAACACAATAAAAAAACCTTTCTGTCATGATTCATATAAATTATCAACAAATACATTAAACAATCAACTAACTCAACAAACACAGGCGTTAATTATTTTACCGTTAATACTCGGTGATTTCGTCCCCTCGTTAAGCTAAAGTTTCGTTGAACATCGAGACTGTGATGTTAAAAATGTTCTGACCTCGTTAATAAATGTTGGTAATGTTGTACTTTTATATTATAACCGTAAGTAAATGGTTGGAGATGACGCTGAAATGTTGTGAATTATTTTGGAAATGTTGAATCTGGGGAAAATGTTGAATCTGGGGAAAATGTTGAATCGGGGGGAAAATGTTGAATGTTTTATCATTTATAGTGACCAATAAATTAATCTAGGGAGTATTTAAATGTGACGATATATTTAGAAATGTTGACCATTATACATTTTAACATAATTCCACCAGTGTATAAATATGTATGACGTCATAAATACTTACAATGTTAGTGTAAAAAAAACCCAGAATTTATTAATAACTTCAAATAAATAATAGATGATAAATGCCTCAACAAAATATTTTCACTCTTAATACCCCAAAATGCCCCCCCAAAATGCCCCCCGAAAATGCCCCCCGAAAATGCCCCCCAAAATGCCACACTTGTATAGAAATGATGTGTGTCGGGGTGATAGAATGTCGTCACATTATTTTAGGCATATCGAAAATGTTACCCCCGATGAGTGGACTTTTCCAGTGAGTAATTTAATATATAGAACTAGATAGGTTAAATTATTGGTGTGTGTGTGTGTGTGTGGAAGAAGGAAGGAAGGACAAACAGACAAATGTACACACAGACAGCCACAGATCAATATATCCTCCCCCCTTCTCACTTTCTCCTGACCCCCCTTTTCCTTCTCCTTCTCCCTTCTTCTCTACTTCTTTAACTCTCTCACCTGCTCCTCCCCTCCATTCTCCCCCTCCCCTCCTTCGCTATTTACCTACCCCTCTCCCCACTCCCCCTTCCCAAGTACCCATCCCCCTGCTTAACTGAGGGACGTAAACAATAGGAAGTTTATAAATGAATGAAAACAAAAATAATCCGAATCAAGAGACAGACATGAACACAATATGGTAGAAGAGTAGACATACTGGGACAAAATAAAATGTCTAATTCAGTGATACAGACATAAAGGATTTTTTTGTGTGTGGGTAATGTCTTTATTTATTGAGACATTGGTCCACACGCAGACGTCAACATAATTCACAAAAAACGGGAGAACTGTGATCCCAGACTGAAGTAAAGTGCAATAATGCCTTCCTCCCCCCCTCCTCTGCCCTCCCAGCCGGCCCACTATACTCGTGTTGAAATGGTCTTAAATATACAACTAATGACAAAGTAGAACCGTCGTGTGGGAGAACTACGAGCGTCTGCTAATCCCTATAATTCTTGTCAGCACTCGTGATGGTGTTAAGTACGGACGGTAAATAAGAGACTCCCGCCTCCCGCCATGGTATCGTAACTAAGGTCTGATTTGTGTTCATCTTTTTACCTGGTTTTTCGTGTGTTTGTTGGCGCCTGTTGTGTACATTAGTTGTTTTAGCGTGTGTTGGGGAGGAGGATATTATCTTTGTTGTTTGTCTTGTTTGTTGTGTGTGGTAAAAGTTATAGTTTACGAATGATATAAATGTTTACATCGCTTACGGTCATATTCTAGTGGTCATCAGAGAAAACTGTCTTGGGTTGATGGGTAACTGAGGTAGAGTCTATGGTCGCCTTGTTTTGTCGCCTCTTTGTGCCGTGGTTGTATATGATCCCGTCTAAAGCGGCATCTACAAGTGTAAAGACATTACTGAAGGTATCTCATCTATGCCAAGAAGGACATTAAACTTAAGGTTGAGATAGTGAGTTGTATTGAAAACTGTCACTGGCCAACATTTTTTTTTAACGAAAGAATAATACGTTCAGGTCCCTCGCGATGTGTTACTGTTGTAAACAAGATGTTTCTTTGGCGTCGCTCGGTGTTAGGTGTAGACAGATGCTAGACAGGTGTGTTGAGGCAGTTGTAGGGTGACTTGTGTTTAAGAATATGTGTCAGGGAGAGTTACGGTGAGACAGGTGCCTTACAGGTGTGTTAAGGCAGGTTTGGTGATCTCCTGCCTCTGATGTCTGGTCTTGTAGTAAATTGTTAGTGAAGGAGACACGAATAATCCTTCACATCCTCGGAAGTAAACAACAAAAACAAAACAAAAAAGACAAGAAAATAACACACACACAAGACTTGGTTTACTAGTGAAGGTTTTGATAAAGAAAACCTCGTCTTGTGATCTGTTTAAAGGGGTGAAGTTGAAGAGAAACGATAAACACAACTTAATAGAAATGTTTAGTGTTTTTCATATTTTAGGAGGTCTGTGTCTTTTAGGTGTGTGATTATGCATTAATATTTTCTTTTAGCCAATCAAAATTTGTTTTCGGTATATATTGAACTGTGGTTGGTCGATGGTCTCTTTCTTTCATGGTATGGGAAGGAAACCCAACCCAACCCAACCCAACCTAACCCAACCTAACCTAACCCAACCCAACCCAATCTAACCTAACCTAACCAAACCTAACCTACCCTAACCTAGAGCGCAGGTGGAGGAATGCTTATACGCTCTCAGGAACACCGCTTAGGCATAATGGAGGCAGGGGGAGAACGTCATAACAGGGTACTTCTGGTGCCTTTTGAACGGCGCCGGAGAACGTGGCATAATAAGCACATACACACACACACACACACACACACCTCTATTTTCAGATACGTACATACATACTGTACATTAACATGAACATACACGTATATATATGCGGATATAATATATACTCTTACACACACACACACACACACACACACACACACACACACACACACACACACACACACACACATGATAACAGAGTCTACATCCACTGGATTACACACACGCTTACAAAATCCCTTTAATACTGTAATCCTGTAATTGAATCCCTAATCCAAGTGTTTGCCAACCTCTCACTTTGTTATAGAGTGTAATTAATGTATCGGGTGATTAAGGAGAGGAAACGATGGTTATGTGTGTGTGTGTGTGTGTGTGTGTGTGTGTGTGTGGCCGTTATTGACTCTTGGTGTAGGAAAAAAAACTCGTGATTTTGTGGTTGATTGGAGTACTCTCTCTCTCTCTCTCTCTCTCTCTCTCCTTGAAGTAACACGTATTAGATCTTCCAGGTACAGTACAAGTCCTCCTGGTAGTTAACGTGTTATCTATAGGTCACTAGTCAAGTCTTGCGGCTGACCTGTGAACCGCAATACACAACTGGCGGCTGACCTGTGAACTACAACCCCATCTGGCGGGAGATTTGTTTATGTAGTACTGACACCATCTGGCGGTGGACCTGTGAACTAGGAGTCGAATAGAGAATGTAAACAGAGTGTTGATGGGGGCCGCCTTCACCCCATCAACGCCCACACTTGCTTCAGTTAACTTTCTGTTTTAACTGAGTCTACAGATCTATGCTTTACTGACTGACTAACTCATTGAC